CTTTATGTATGTGGGTGGTCCCCTGTTGGGTGCATATTAAATCTCTATAGTTGTTCGACCTTCTTGTTGGATTGTTAGTGTCTTTCTTTGTCTCTTAGTACAGTTTTTGTCTTAAAGTCTATTTTGTCCAATATAAGTGTTAGTATCCCAGGTTTCTTGTCACTTATACTTGCATGATAAATGTTTCTCCATCCCTTCATTTACAGTTAGACTCTCAATGATACTTTTAAAAGGGCATTATATCATATAGTTCTTTTTCTTTTCTTCTTTTTTTTTTTTAAAGATTTTTATTTATTTGACAGAGAGAGAGAGATCACAAGTAGGCAGAGAGGCAGGCAGAGAGAGAGAGGAGGAAGCAGGCTCCCTGCTGAGCAGAGAGCCCGATGCGGGGCTCAATCCCAGAGCCCTGAGATCATGACCTGAGCCAAAGGCAGAGGTTTAATCCATTGAGCCACCCAGGCGCCCCCCATATAGTTCTTTTTCAAATTAAAATGCATCATAATAATTTTGTTAGGTCAGATTCAGTTATGCTTCAGGTATAAATGAAATACTTCTAAAATGTATTTCTCAGTTAGGTCTGTGTTTTGTGGACTTAACAAACCTAACAAAAAACTTTAGCCATACAACGATTGCTTATATTGGTTTTCCATTGCTGCTGCAACAAATCACCACCAATTTAGTGATGTAAGACAACACAAATTTGTTATTGTTCTTCCAACTGAAGTCCCACTGGGCTAAAATCAAGGTGCTTCTATGAAAGAATCCATTTCCTTGCCTTTTCCAGCTCCTACATTCCTCGGCTTGTGTCCCCTTCCTCCATCTTTAACGTCATTAACAGCAGGTAGAATCCTTGTCGGGCTGCATCTCTCTGGCCCTCTGCTCTGGACTGAATGTTCGTGTCCCTTCAAAATTCTCATGTTGAAATCCTAATGACAGATGTGATGGTACTTGGAGGTGAGGCTTTCGGGAGGTGTTGGGTCATGAGGGCGGAGCCTTCATGAATGGGATTAGTGTTCTTATGAAAGAGACTTCCTGGGGCTCCCTCACCCCTTCCCCCATGTGAGGACCCTGTGAGAAGGTGTTGGTGATGAACTAGGAAGGCGGCTCTCACCACGGTCTCCGCAGTCATGCTGGTACCTTGATCTTGTACTTCCAGCCTCCAAGAGCTGGAGAAATACATTTGTGTTGTTTAGAAGCCACCCAGTGGGTACTGTTTTGTTATAGCAGCCTGAACGGACAGACCCACTCCTGTGTTATCCCCTCTGACTCTCATACAGTGGGGAAAGGTTCTCCACACGTAAGGCCCCAGTGATTAGATTGGATTCAGTAGGATAACCCAGGAGAAACTCCTACCTCAAAGTCCTTATCCTTAATCACACCTGCAAGGTCCCATTTGCCATGTAAAGTAGCATATTCACAGGTCCAGGGAGTGGGATGTGGATGTCTCTACGGGGGGGGGGGGGGCATTGTTTCTTCCAACTACTATGCCACACACCTATCTCCTGCTTCAACATTATCAACATTTTGCCAATATTGTTTTTTCTCCTACTTTCTTGTTTTTTAATTTTCTGGAATATTAAAGCAAATTCCAGAAACCATATAATCTGGCTGTAAATAGTTTCTCTAATCTTAAAAAAAAAAAAAAAAAACAAACAACCGCAATAGCATTATCATAGCAAAATCTCCAATAATTCTTTTTTTTAAATTTTTTTTTTTTAAGATTTTATTTGACAGGCAGAGATCACAAGTAGGCAGAGAGGTAGGCGGGGAGAGAGGAGGAAGCAGGCTCCCCGCTGAGCAGAGAGCCTGATGCAGGGCTTGATCCCAGGGCCGCAGAATCACAACCTGAGCCGAAGGCAGAGGCTTTAACCCACTGAGCCACCCATGCGCCCCTCCAATAATTCTTTAGTGGCATCTAACATCCATTCCATATCCAGGTTTCCTGATCCTTATTTATTTATTTATTATTTTTAAAAATTAATTTGACAGAGAGAGATACAGCGAGAGAGGGAACACTGGGGTGGGGAGTGGTGTGAGAGGGAGAAGCAGGGTCCCAGCTAAAGGAGAAACAGGCTTCCTTCTGAGCAGGGATCCTGATGTAGGACTCCATCCCAGGACTCTGGGATCAGGACCTGAACTGAAGGCAGACGCTTAACAACTGAGTGACCCAGGCATTCCCCAATCTTTAGGTGTTTTTTTTTTTTTAAAGGTAGTTTTGTCTTATGACCCGAACAAGGCTCACAAACTTGCATTTGCCTAATGTGTCTCTCAGGCCTGCTTTATAACAAATCTCCCTCTCCTCCTCTCTCCTTTTTTTCTGATGCTATTTATTTGAATTAAGAAGTTAGGTCATTTGGTCTGTAGAACTTGCACATTCTGGATCCAGCTGGTTGTTTTCTTGGTGATGTGATTTAACCTGTTCACTGGTCCCTATAGTTCCTTAAGCTTGGAGTTAGTTATAGGCTTTACCAGGATTCACATTTGTTTTTTCTTTTGCTTTTCTAGTCAACAAGAATACTTCAGTCAATGCTGCATACTTCCTATTGCATCGTGTTGGTACACATACGCTGTCCTAATTTTCGTGATGGTAAAATTGTTCATCTGGACATATTTGAAAATATTACAATATTCTTAATTATTAATAATACCACCATTTACTGCTTGCTTCCTAGATACCCGGCATTTTGCTGTTTGCTTTCTATACGATTTCTAGTATATCTCCGTATATCAACTATACTCATAGATGTGCAAAAATATGCTAGAACGGGTTGGTTGGAAGCCCCTTTGTGTTATTGCTTCGGGCTTCAGTTTACTTCTCGTAACGCGGGGTAATGAGTTTCTTGCTCTTGATTTACACGGTTATTTTGAGGATTATTTTAAATAATGGATGTGAAAGCTCTTTGGAAATTAGACCAGGTCATATTATACTAAGTAACATTGGTTAAAAAAAAAAAAAAGAAAAAGAAAAAGAGAAAGAAAGGCCCCAATAAACTCATCACACACTCCCCGAAGGCACTTTGTCCCGCCCTGGAGAAGACCAAGCAAGGTGAGGCAGAGCCGCGCGGCACTCAGGGAGGGAGGCAGGAGCGAGCCGTCACACAGCGCCACCCGTCCGCGCCGCGCGGGCGCCCCGCGACTCGGCTTCCTGCCGCCCCGCCCCCATCGCCTGGGACGCGGGGCCCGGGCGCTCCGAAGGCTCGCGGAGCCCGCCTCGAGCCGCGGCCGTGCACTCGGGAAGCGAACTCGGGGCCGCCCTGTCCACGAGCGGGGCGCCGGGGCCGCCCCGATCCGCACCGGCCGGCGTGCGCCCTGCCAGGCGCCAACAGCTTCGCGGCTTCCGCGCGCCCCTCGCCTTCTCGGACGTTGCTCGGCGGGGGGTTGCAGGGAGCCGTGGCGCTAAGGCCTTGAGCGGAGAAGAAAGTCTAGAAGACAGTAAGGATGGCACGAACAGCCGAATCGTTGAGGAAGATGCGGCCGAGGGTAAGATTTTGCTTTCTTGCAGCCACTGTACGAGACGCCCGCGGCGGCCATCGGGGGTCTCCGCCTAGGCCCGGGCGGGGGCGGGGCCTGGGGCGGGGCCGAGATCTTCGCGGCCACTCAGTGTCTCCCGCCCGCCCAAGGTGCCAGGGATGATAGCGGGGGGGGGGGGGTGGGGCGAAACCCGCTGTGCCACGTGCACGGAAACCGGAAGTGGCGGGGATGCCCCGCGGGCCGGAGGACCCGTGAGATGATGGGGGCCAGGCTCCCCCGGGAGGCTTTACTTTCCGATCTCCCTCGCTGGGTGCCTGGCCGCCCACTGCAAGCAGAATTCTCCGAGGATTCTAACGACCGTGCTGTAATATTTAGGCTTCTAGGTTCATTGCTATTTCTTGTTACTGCAAACTGGAACCCCCTTGCCTTTTTAGGATTGAGAGCTGATTGAAAAACACGGGGTTCTGGGAATTAGTCATTTATTGGCTGGAGAGTGACGATTACTTAAGACCCGGATATTAAATCGTAGGCGCCTCTCATTTTCTGATTTACTGATGTAGATTGACCCCCCAAAAAAAAATCCGTCTTATTTAAGGTGGAACATTTAACATTCGAATAGCCATGGTTGACACTGTGGGAGTATATTGAAGATAATGGACAAGTAAGAGGCCAAACTATAGGTCGGGGCATATTAAACATTTTTTAATGCTGTTTTTGGGTGGAGGGAATTTAGGTATTTAATGGTGGCTTTGAAGTTAAAACTCAGTCACTGGATAAAATATTTTGTTCCTAGTTAGGAATTGCAACTGCTATTTTTATGTGTTAGGCAATATAGAACAATGTGGTGTGCATGTATTATATATTAATATTTTATGCTATAATTTAAAAGAGCTATTCTTGAACAATAACATGTCAGTTATTTTTCTTTAGCTGGTTTTTTGTTTGTTTGTTTGTTTTTTACTTTAAACACTGATCAGTTTCCTTCTCTGTTTTCCCCAGGGCAGCAGCCATAAAAGGTTTTCCTTTGGAAGACTTCCACGGAGGGGCTTGTGAGAAAATGTGTTCTGTGACCCTGTTTGCCTGTCTTTAAATTCCTGTCTGGCCCACTGACCAAGGGGAACAGAACATCTTCTCCATTTGTTCCTCCTGCTTCTATGGCTGGAGACTGTGAAGCATTTAAAGACCAAAGGAGTGTTAATATATGTTTGTAACTCTAAAAGGTTTGGGACAGTAAGAATAAATATAGGCTGTTCGCTCCACAGATGTTTATTAATCATTTGTTTGCAGGCAGGATCCTGGGCGTGAGCAGAGGGGGGATGTGAGGATGGACCAGGTAGGGTCCCTAACTTAGAGAACTTACAGACTAGTGCAGTAAGAAATAATGTTTTCTGTCATGACCAGGACACACAGTGTTGGGAGGCCTGTATAGTTTTCCTGCTGGTATATCATTTGATGAGCTCAATAAAATTGACAGATTCACCTCAGGGCGGGTGTGTGTGTGTGTGTGTGTGTGTGTGTGTGTGTGTGTGTGTGTGAAAACAGTAATGTTTTAGTAATTTTGCTTTTTAAACCCAAACTTGCTAATGCAAAGAGAAGTGTCTAATATGGACAGAATTCTTAATCACTTAACCACAAGAAGGCAACACACAGAGAATATTGTCTTTATTGAAACCACTCATGGCCTAGTTTTACATCTAGTGATAAAAGATGGATAAACACATTTTTTTCCCCCATGTATTCATTGAGTAGGCAGGAAGAGCTGGCAGAAGAGCTCTCCATATTCCGGCCTGGGTAGAGTGCTCCACAGTGCTCCGATGAAGGACCGGACCCTCCTATCATTTTTGGAAAGAACCTAGTTTCTCTCTTTTGGCCTGTAAGAGCCTAGACGTGGAAGACAGAGTAGCATTTTAGTTATTCGGGCTGTGTGGCTATGGGGATTTTAAGTCCTTGACCTGCTTATTATGGTTGAGATAAAAGTTCAGGTTTACATTTAGTGAGCAGAGGGTCTAGGGACTTGGGATGTCAAGTATTAGTCCAACTCAGTATTAGTCCAACTCAAATAGCCACAGCTTCTAGATTCTCTCCCATTTCTGGCCTTTCTTCTCCGCTGGGCTTCATTCTCCCTCCTCTCTCCTCCTGTGGCTATTTGAATCAAGTCCCATTGCTTCTGAACTCACCAGACTGGAAGGCTTGCTCTCTAATCTAATCCTGACATACTTGCCTCCTGGAAAGAGCTTTGCTTAAAAAATTGGTGAGCGTCATTTCTAGCAATCCCATGACATCATAGGAGGCAGGTACTGTGACCCCAATTATGAGGCTCAGAAAGGGTAAGTGGCTTGCCCAAGGTCACAGAGCAAAGCTGTAGGTTGGGCTTTTTCTGGTTCAGCATAGCTCTTTTCTGCTGGTGGGTATCGTAACCTAGGATAAAATACTGAAGAAGGGGAAGTGGCTGGTTCTCTAGAGAGCTCTGAGGTTTTCCTCTTTCCTGCCAAGAGAGGTAGGCTCTGTTGTGCCGTGACTGTCCCTGTGCTGGAAATGTCCGTTGCTCCCAATTCCTAGCAGTCAGCGTGCTCTTTCCACAGGTCAGCTGCGTCAGAAAATGAGGGAGCGGTGCTGTCCCTGAGGTCAGCCTGAGCACAAAGAGAAGGTCCCTTGATACCCATCTGGAAGCCACCCTAAGGTAGGAGCGATGTCTCATTACCTAGTGTGTGCCTGGCACGCTGGCCTGGCTGTGCCATTTCTGGGGAGAGAATGGATTCCCTGCCTTCCTCGTCCCTCCCTCCCTCCCCTCCCTCTTTCCCTCCCCTCCCTCTTTCCCTCCTTCTCCACTCCCTCCTTCCATCCTACCTTCCTTCTTCCTTCCCTTTCTTTATTCTTAGTCCTCTGGCTGAAGGGCTTTGTGTAGGGTATTTTTTTTTTTTTTTAATATCTTTATGGAAAAAAGAACACAGATGCTGGAGGGAAGGGCAGGGACTTCTCCAACCTTTTGTTTGTTTGCCCTCCTTATCTAAGCTGTCCGCCCGGTGGCAGAGGCCAGGCCCAGCCTCAGTGGGATCAAAGGTACAGGGAAGCCATGTTGGGGGAGAGCTCGGCGGAGCGACCGTGAGTGCAAAGCCCTGGCTTGTCTCTGTGGGTCCCGTCCTGCTCCCAAGGGTCCAGGGAAGCTGGGGGACTGCAGTTTTGAGTCCCCTTAACCCCTGACCCCCATTGTGTGCTACACTTGGACTGCAGCCTGGGCCTGCCTGGTTCCAGGCTACTCCTCTCCCCTGGTCGTGTTCCGCGTTCTGGATCTTAGTTACCACTGCTGACACCGGCTTCTTAGATTAAAGGAAGTGGGTGTAGAGGAGCAATTACGAAGTCATCATTCTGGTTTTCAGCTCAGGGAGCTCAGAGCCTCTAAAGAGCAAAGGTGTGCGTGTTAAGAGAATTGTAGGGCGGGCCCCAGAAGGCTGGGCTCCTTCCTCTCCCCTCACCCTCTAAAGCTTGAGGAAACAGGAGGGTTTGGGGGAAGTTTCAGCTGCTGTGGTTAGGATTTCAGAACACTCTTGGGCCTTTTGAAAGAAAGATAGTAAAACCAAATGGTTGCTTCTGATACATTTGATTGAATCAAACCAAAGGAAATGAGATGGTATCAAGAAATATATTCATGAGTCCTTTGAGGGTCTCTCTCTTTTAAGAGAGGATCCCTGTCCTTGGTCTCCCCAGTGAATGGTTACTAGGGGCATTTATACCACATTCTGGACTTTGATTGCTGATAGATGGGTGATAGCAGGAAATGCATTACTTTCTCCCCACTGGCATTCAGTTAAGCGCTAGCCTCATGGAGTGGAATCAAGCACAGGGGGGACCGTGCTCCCCGAGTGACCTGGGGCTGTCATGGTTTGCACCACTGCCCCATTTTTTATCTTTAATGCCACTTTCCCTCTCCAAGATGTCCCCAGTGGGAAGATAAAGTGTCCAGTGATTCCAGTTATGGGGCATGCGATGTCCATCCTTTGAGAAACCGAGGTGGTGAGGAGGTTCTAGGGACGAGGACAGGGTGTGGCATGTGGTCACTGGTGGTCAGACCCACTTGATGAAGGTAGTGTGGATGTTTGGAGTAGAACTGCAGGAAGAGCGTTGGATCCCAGATTACATGCACCGCTGCCTTTGACCTCTTGATCTGAAAGGACACAGTTACAATCTGGCATTCGTGTCCTGTTGCCTCTTCAATCAAGTATTTACTGTAAACACCACCATTGGAGAACAGGCAGAGGGGGGGTGATCACTTGGGCCTGGAGCCATTCCTGCCCTATGATCCTGACATTTCTTCTTTTCCAAAAAGCCACAGACCAGGTGAGGACCCAGTGCTAGGGCCGACAGCTGTCAGTGCTCCATTGGGGGGAGCGGGAAGGCATCCATCATTTATCACTTTCAATTCTGAGGTTATGTTTTAAACTTCTGTTAAAGGCTCAAAATACATGTTTGCCTCCATTTATTTTTCTTTAGGTAAGAGTTAAAAAATTTTCCGTATCTTGATAGTTGGTTGTTATATAGAATGCCACCGTGCCATAAGCTAGGGACTCTTATAGGGACTCAGGCTTATGTGCAAATGTGGAAAGTTCTGGAAACTGAATTTTGCGGAGATTATTTTGGACCCTACAGGAGAAGTGTGCTCTTGACTCCTTGCCTGTCAATCAACCATATGAGGTTTCCTGGATTCATCTTAGAAAAGCATCCCTCCCAGAAAGGGATTTTCTATATTTATGGGCTCAGTGAAGATCTGTGGTCAGTGGTCCTCCACGCCTCCACTCAGAGACTTCTGGAGCTTCTCCCAAATGAGTTCTCTGCAGCTTTCAGGTCACTGCCCTTTAAGATCCTTGTCTGGAGCCTAAGATGAGGAACTTCAGTAACATTTTTTTTTTTTTAAAGATTTTATTTATTTATTTGACAGACAGAGATCACAAGTAGGCAGAGAGGCGGAGAGAGAGGGGAAGCAGTCTCCCTGCCAAGCAGAAGGCCTGATGCGGTGCTCGATCCCAGGACCCTGAGATCATGACCTGAGCTGAAGGCAGAGACTTAACCCACTGAGCTACCCAGGCGCCCCCAGCATGTCACTTCCCAAAGTCCATTTCAGGTCATCCTCATGCCAGCCTTGCTCTTCAGATGTGTCAAAAGTGGCTGCTTTTTTTTCTTTTTAAATAGGAAACAAACCTCATTTATGATTCAGAAGAATCCATAACCACCTTAAGTTTCCCATTGAGAAACCACTACCCACAGATGTCTTCTAACCGAAGGCCATCCCGAATTTTAAGGCTCATATGCAGATGAAAACCCACGTTCATGGAAACATATAACCCAGCTGCCATGTTGACAGATGGGGGGCTCTGGGAGACCCGGCCTCTGAGCCCAGAGTGGCATGTATTCCCTGCATCCCTAAAGCACATTGTGAATATTCAGTTCTTTTGTGGAAAACGATATGGAAAAGTGAGGAATTCACACCAGAGGCAACACGATACAGGGGGCTTCTTGGCCTGTTGATTTGTAAGGTCAGGGACGGGTGGGAGTCAAGTTTTGGGAGTCACGTTACACTTATTAATATTTTTCGACTGAGGGGCGCCTGGGTGGCTCAGTGGGTTAAAGCCTCTGCCTTCGGCTCTGGTCATGATCCCAGGGTCCTGGGATCGAGCCCCACATCGGGCTCTCTGCTCTGCAGGGAGCCTGCTTCCTCCTCTCTCTCTTTCTCTGCCTGCCTCTCTGCCTACTTGTGATCTCTGTCTGTCAAATAAATAAATAAAATCTTAAAAAAAAAATATTTTTCGACTGTTCCATTATGTGTCCTACTTTAACATCCTTTGGGTAGATTCTTATTTAATGACTTCCAAAGTGGTAGTCAAACTTTATCGTGTTAGTGGGAGGATCATTCTTACAGTGTAATCTGACCTATTAGCCTCGTACAAGTACTGGACACTTCATTTATTCGGGAATATCGGTGGGATTCTGTAACTTATTAGTTCTTACTAGAAGGAGAGTTTATGACAGTGTTAAGAAACGTAATCTGATCCTTTCTGTTTTCTCCACAGGTCCATGGCTAAGCCCTGGACACCGGTTGCGCCTTACCCAAGATTCCACACTTCTCTTGTGGTCAGTTCTTGATGGATTTCACTCCTGGATGCTGGCGACTCCTGGGCAGGAGACATGGCTCCAATCAGGCCGGGGTTTGGAAACCAGGATCTGTGTCTGCTCAAGAGAAGGAGTTTCCTGCTGTTGAAACTCACAGCTGTTGTCTTTGCCACGCTTCTATTTTGTGAATTTTTAATCTATTATTTGGTGATCTTTTGGTGTGATTGGCCTGAGGTGAAAACTCCCGCTCATGACAGTGGACAAAAGACTCTGAAAGCCATGTTTTTGGCTGATACTCACTTGCTTGGGGAAGTACGAGGCCATTGGCTAGACAAATTACGAAGGTAGGGGCTACAATCAGGAATCTTTCTGAAATTTTACCAAAGGCGGATCCCTCTCCTTCTAGGTCAGGCTTGTCGTTAGTTATTTTCCTCTCAAAGAGAGACATATGGGGCCTTTGACTTTTCCTTGAACATAGTGTTTGCAGAGCCTCTCTTATTTTAAGGACCCAGGACTTGGAAGGCACGTCTGGATTAGAGTCTTGTGACTTTGGACAAGTTCCTCGGGCTTCTCCAAACCTGTCTCTGCCTCCTTGTTTGTAACTGTTCAATACCAGAGACTTTGCAGGCTGTGTGAGGAAAATTCCCCCAACAAGGTCTGGCACATGGGTGTGGTGGGCCAAGGTTGGCTTCCCCTTTCCCTGGGCAGCGGAGGAAACATAACTGGGTTGGTGGTGGTCCCCTCTCACAGTCAGTGGGGTGTTGTTTGGAGCCCACTTGGTTTTTGTGCACTCTGGGCAGCCCCAGCCAAGCAGGTCTGTGGCTGTCACTCTGGAGAGAGGATCAGGTCCTATTTGTCCAACTTAGACCGGCCCAAGCAGAGTCCACCTGCTTTCCCATCAGAACGCTTTTTAAAAAATTTAATTGTGGTAAAATACACATAACGTGAAAGTTACCATGGTCAACAGTTTTAAGTGTATATTTCAGTGGCATCACATACATTCACAGTGTTGGGCAGCCGTCCCCACCAGCCAGCTCTAGAACATTTTCTTCTTCCCAAACTGGAACTTGGTCCTTGCTAAATACTGACTCCCCTTTCCCCGTTCTCCCAGCCCCTGCGCCCGCCATGCTGTTCTGTCTCCATAGATCTGACTCCTCTGGGACCTCATACAAGTGGAGTCATACAGTATTTGTCCTCTTGTGTCTGGTTTATTTCATTGAGCAGAATGTCCTCTAGGTCCATCTGTGTTGGGGCATGTGGCAGCATTTCCTTCCTTTTTAAGGCGGAGGGATAATTATGTTGTGTATTTAGACCATGTTTTGTTTCTCTGTTCCTCTGTGGATGGATACGTCTACCTTTTGGCTATTACGAGTTATGGCCACCAGAAGGTGACTGATGGGGCTTTCAGCCATCGTGGCAGCAGAGCTCTCTTCTTGCCCCTCAGACTCCCCTCCTTGACCCCTTTTCCTCATCATCTCTAAACAGGTCTTTATCCTTGCGAGCAGGAATATCCTTGGAATAGTCTGGATTTGGATGAACCTTATGCTGAGTGGGAGGAGGAAGAGGTGAAATGTCCCCAGGGGTGAGAGGAGAAGGCAAGACAGAAAAAGGAAAGCCGGAGGGGCTGCCGTCCTTCTGTACTCAAGAGTTGTAAACCACAGGAGGCATGAAATAAGGGCCAGGGTGAGACTTCCTTTGCTTCCATTTGGGCCTTAGCAGTTGAGCTTTCTTCCCCGCCCGTTGTTGCTGCTGTTTCTAGATCTTTCTTCTCCAGGGTGAATTACATTCATCAAGAAAAACAGCACTGAATTTTGGGGATATCTTGAGTGCAGGTGTGCACATGCAGCAAGCACTTTACACGGGGCCTGCATGGTCCTCGCTGACCTCAAATTACCTTTTCCTATTTGTGCCCTGGGATGTCACAGTCCCCTTTGGTAGGGGAGAAACAGCCGGGATGATGCCTTAAAAAGGAGGGAAGAGTTGGGATCCTTAGGAGAATGACACGGGTCAGAGTCGGTCAGGGAGAGGGGAGGGTGGTTCGAGAAAGCGTGCACGTTTGAGCTCCCACTAACTGCCCTGTGAGAGAAGGTTTTACAATTCCTGCTCACCAATGAAGAATAGGAATCAGAGGGAGTGGGTGACGTTCTCAAGGCCGTATAGGGGGTTATGGGTGGAGCTGGGGGGTTAAGCCATTGCCTGTTAGGTTCAAGAGCACAGGCTTTTTTTTTTTTAAATTAAGATTTTATTTATCTGAGAGAAAGAGTGAGTGAGAGAGAGCACGAGCTGAGGGGGGAAGGTGGGGCAGAGGGAGAAGGAGACTCCCCACTGAACTAGGGAGCCGAATGTGGGGCTCGATCCCAGGACCCTGGGATCATGACCTGAGCCAAAGGCAGATGCTTAACCAACTGAGCCACCCAAGCTCCCCCCAGCCTCTTTTCATTCACTTGTCTTACCTATGGGGTGATGTCTTGGATATCTGAAGTCTGCAGGGTTTACAGTCTTGGTATTGGCTAGTCTGATTCTCCCATTATCTTCCCCCAGTTCTGAAGGCAGACAGGAAGTTGAGGTCCTTCAAGAAGTGGAAGTTGAGGCAGATGCTATCCTCTCCTCTCTGGGGTGCATCAACTTAGTCTACACTGAGTGTCTTTGGAAGCTGCGTTGAGCTCTCCCTGATCTTTGGGGCTTGTTATGACTGAGGGATGGCTTCTGGGGTGCAGTGTGGTGTCTGATCTGTGGGTGCCACATGGGGGGAAGTCAGCTTTTAAGATGCGTGGGTGGGGCAGCCCGACTCTCCCTCAGACCCTTTATTTCCCACACTGAATTACACGTGGACTCTGACCCTTGCTAGCGTGGAAAGGGAATGCAGGGGTGAGGCTGTAGAAGGAGAATGGGACCATTTGGTTGACTTTTTAAATGGCCCGTAAGACAGATCTGGGCTCCACATAAGAAAGAGACTGATGCTGTGCTTTTCTCTGTTGACCTTAGGGAATGGCAAATGGAGAGAGCTTTCCAGACGGCTCTGTGGTTGTTGCAGCCCGAAGTTGTCTTCATTCTAGGGGACGTCTTTGATGAAGGGAAGTGGAGTTCCCCCCAGGTAGGACCCCGTGATCCAGCCACCCTAATCCTCCTTTGAGGGTCTAGGGCAGGGAGCCCAGAAAATCCATGAAGCAGTATCTGGGAGGGTTGGGGGTTTTGCTCAGCACCAACATTAAACACGTGTAGTCTATCTTTTTTTTTTTTTTAATTTTATTCTTTTTTTTTTCTAAGATTTTATTTATTTATTTGACAGAGATCACAAGTAGGGAGAGAGAGAAAGGGAGAAGCAGGCTTCCGCTGAGCAGAGAGCCCGATGTGGGGCTCGATCCCAGGACCCGAGCTGAAGGCAGAGGCTTTAACCTACTGAGCCACCCAGGTGCCCCACGTGTAGTCTATCTTGATGATTGTTAGGATCCGTATCTCCTGCCAGTCTTGAGTTAGGCTGGCTAACCATAGATAGTTGACGCTTGCAACATGCCGGGTTAGGGACGCCAACCTTATGCAGTCAAAAATCTGTGTATACCTTTGGATTCTCCCAAAACTTAACTACCAGTAGCCCACTGTGGACTGGAAGCCTTGCTGATAACACAGTCAGCATGTATGTTACATGTTATGTGTATTCTATTCTGTAATCTTAGGATAAAGTCAGCTAGAGAAAAGAAAATGTTGCTAAGAAAATCTTAAGGAAGAGAAAATACGTTTACAGTACTGTACTGTCTTTATAAAAAAACAAGTCCATGTATAACCTGACATACGCAGTTCAAACTTGTTTGACTGTCAACTGTATCTGTTTACGTAGGAAACAGGTAGATTAGTCAGAACTCGCTTTGCTGGAATGCACATTCCCATGAGCCTCTTGGGAAAGGGAAAAAGAGGCAAGGTGCGTAACTCCGCTTGTCACCAAAATTATAAAATACATATTGAAATGTAATTTCACTTTACACTGGATTACTTAGCCATGAAATTATGAGAATTGTGCTATAAATGTGACTGCTACCCTCCTTTTCTTAAATTTTTTCAAAAAAATTTAAATTTATTAGAGAGTGAGTTCGGGGAGGAACGGATGGAGAGGGAGAGAGGAACTCAAGCAGACTGTGCAGAGTGCAGAGCCCAACGTGGGGCTCTATCTCACAACTCTGAGATCATGACCTAAGCTGAAATCAAGATTTGTATGTTTAACCGACTGTACCACCCAGGCGCCCCTCCTCTGAGCAGAAGGAGTCTCAGGGACCTGGTGTGAGGTTCTTGTGCCTTCAGGGGCCTCCATCTGGGTGTTGAGGTGTAAGCCTTTCTATAACTAAAGAGAAGGGCTGTTCTCACCTTAGCTGTCCAGTATTTTACTTACTGTATTCCTGGAATTAATGGAAAATAGAAAAAAGCTGTTTTGCTGCTTATGAAAATGTTTGGTCATAAATGGTTTTAGAAGGTATTTTTGTGGGGTGGGATATTTAAAAAAATTTTTTTTTAACTTAAACTCAATGTAATTAACATAGAGTATATTACTAGTTTCATCAGTAGAGGTCAGTGATTCATCAGTTGCATGTAACACCCCGTGCTCGTTGCATCACATGCCATCCTTAATGTCCATCACCCAGTTACCCCATGCCCTCCACCCCCCGTCCCGTCCAGCAGCCCTCAGTTTGTTTCCTAGAGTTAAGAGTTTTCTTATGGTTTGTTTCCTTCTCTGTTTTCATCTTATTTTTCCTTCCCTTCTGTTATGATCCTGTTTTATTTCTTAAATTCGCATATGAGTGAAGTCATGTGGTTATTTGTCTTTCTCTGACTGACTTATTTTGCTCAGCATAATACCCTCTAGTTCATCCATATTGTTGCGAATGGCAAGATTTCATTCTTTCTGATGATGGAGGACTATTCCATTGTGTTTATATGTGTATGTACCCCATCTTTATCCATTCCCCTGTCATTGGACATCTGGGCTTTTTCCATAGTTTGGCTACTATATGTGGACATTGCTGCTATAAACATTGGGGTGCAGGTGCCCCTGTCATTGGACATCTGGGGTTTTTCCATAGTTTGGCTACTATATGTGGACATTGCTGCTATAAACATTGGGGTGCAGGTGCCCCTTCGAATCACTGTGTCTGTATCCTCTGGGTAAATACCTAGTAATGCAGTTGCTCGGTGGTAGGGTAGCTCTGTTTTTAACTGAACCTCCATACTGTTTCCCAGAGTGGCTGCACCAGTTTGCACTGGGGATGGAGATTTTTTAAAAAGCCATTATCAGGGGCGCCTGGGTGGCTCAGTGGGTTAAGCCGCTGCCTTCGGCTCAGGTCATGATCTCAGGGTCCTGGGATCGAGTTCCGCATCAGGGAGCCTGCTTCCCTCCTTCTCTCTGCCTGCCTCTCTGTCTACTTGTGATCTCTCTCTGTCAAATAAATAAATAAAATCTTTAAAAAAAAAAAAAGCCATTATCATTTCCCAGGATAATCCAAAAGCTTTACAAAGAAAGTCTTGGTCCAGATCTGATTAGAAACCCACTGTTCGGAGTGCCTGGGTGACTTAGTCAGTTAAGTGTCTTTTTTTAGCGCAGGTCATGATCCCAGGGTCCTGGGATTGAGTGCCTCACCAGGCTCTCTGCTTAGCCGGGAGCCTGTTTCTTTCTTTCCCTCTGCGTACCACTCCCCCTGCTTCTGCTCCCTCTGTGTCAGATAAATAAATAAAATCTTAAAAAAAAAGACAAGCCACTGTTTATAGGGTCTCATAATTAAATATGAGATAATGGAAATAGTATATGTAACAAGCAACTAGTTATAAAATGAAGTTGGATGTATATGTTGCTTTTACAAATTGAGGGTAGCATTTTATGTTTTTATGTTTTTCTTTTTTTTTAAGTTTTTATTTATTTATTTGAGAGAGAGAGAGAAAGAGAGCGAGAGAGAGAAATCACAAGTTGGGGTGGAGGGGCAGAGGGAAAAGGAGAAGTAGGCTCTGCACTGAGCAGGAAGCCTGACATGGGGCTCAATCCCAGGAGCCTGAGATCCTGACCTGGGCGGAAGGCAGATCTTAACTGACTGAGCCACCCAGCACTCCTGTTTTTGTTTTTCTAATTTTATGTTATTCTGCTTTTATCTTATCTTAACTTTAAATATTATCTGTTAAAGTGAAGTCTTTGTAAATGTATTGAAGAACTTTTTCTCCAGCATGTTTCTCTGGTTTGGGCCTTACTTAAAACTCTTAGGATAAAGTTGATTACTCTCCAACTCCGTATTGTCTTTCCTGTGTCTGTCCAGTTGATGTTTTTCGACTTAATAAGAGCCAGAATGATACAAACATAATTCTCAAGCTTTAATAGTTAAAGTAAATGTCCGAATAATGTTGAAATATTTGTTGGATTTTGTCTTTCTTTCCTCTACATTCTATCTGTTCTCATTCCCACAGTGGTAGCCACAGGGAAATGATAAAATGAGGGATGTGCTCATCTTTGTTTTGGTTGAGACACGTGAATTTACTGGACATTTTCTACAAGCCTGTTTTCACAGTGTGTCCCAGTCTGGAGTGATTATTAACCTGGGGTCCATGCATGGGCTTCAGGGGATCTTTTTAGGGGATCTTAAAATAATGGGTATATAATTGCCATCTAATGTTTTAATATGGGGGAATACCATTTAATTAAAAGCTGGCATCAAATTAAATCATTGAAATATTAAGTCTTAGAAAATGCAGTGTGACATAGAATTAGAAATTAAGTTCTAGGGCATCTGGGTGTCTCAGTTGGTTAAGTGACTACCTTCGCCTCAGGTCATAATCCTAGAGACTCAGGATGGAGTCCCGTTGGGCTCCCTGCTCAGCAGGGAGTCTGCTTCTCCCTCTGACTGTCCTCCCTCATCTTGTGGTCTCTCTCTCTCATTCTCTCTTTCAAATAAATAAATAAAATCTATTTTAAAAAGTTAAAAAAAAAAAGACATTCTAAGTTCTACATTAACTCTCTGGGCATCTGATTTGGAGGGGGAATTTAATGTCTCATCATCAGAATAGGGAACATTTTTTTTTTTTTTTGCCACAGGGAAGAGAGGTTCTCTGGGTCTCAGCAGTGATCTGTTTTCCCCATAGGCCTGGGCAGATGATGTGCAGCGATTTCGGAAAATATTCAGACACCCACGTCACGTGCAGCTGAAGGTGGTTGCTGGCAACCATGACATTGGCTTCCACTATGAGTAAGTTGTTCAGTGAAGCATTGCCCCCCCGAGAGCTTCGTTAACTAGAGCTTTAAACCTGCCACCATTCAGGTGAGAGCCTTATTTGTGCTGGGGGAGGCGGCAGACATTTGTTGTTCTTGAAAGATGGAAGCCCTAGGAGCATGAACTCCACAGGGTGAAGATTTTTGTCTTGGCACAATGTACACCTTTAATGAATCTCTGTTGAATAAATGATTTGTCTGTGCACTTGGGTGACGAACTTGAAGCTTACAATTAATGACCAATTATTTTCTTTGGGACTCAGAAAACAAGACCATTTCGACTTTTGTAAATAGTATTTTACATAGTGCTTACAATGTGTCAGTCAGTTTTAAGTATTGTATTATTTTTTCCTCCAAATTTTTATTTAAATTCTAGTTAGTTAACCTATGGTGTAATACTGGTTTCAGGAATAGAATTTAGTGATTCATCACTTACGTATATCGCCAATGCTTATCATCACAAGGGTCTTCCTTAATCCCCATCCTCCATCTAGCCAATCCCCCCTCCCACCTCCCTCCAGCAACCCTCAGTTTGTTCTCTATTGAAGAGTCTCTTAGGGTTTGTGTCCCTCTCTCTCTCCTTTCTCCTTTCCTCTATGTTCATCTGTTTTGTTTCCTAAATTCCACATATGAGTAAAATCATATGGTATTTGTCTTTCTCTTATTTTGCTAGCTTCATCTGCGTCATTGCAGATGGCAAGAGTTCATATTTTTTGATGGCTGAGTAATATTCCATGGCTATAGACCACCTCTTATCTATTCGTTAGTCGATGGACTCTTTCCGTAGTCTAGCTGTTGTGGATAATCTTGCTATAAACATCAGGGCTAAGCACTTTACTTCCATAAATCAACTCATTTAATCTTTCTGATGGTCCTGTTATTTTAACCATTGTGCCAGTGAGGAAACTGAGACTCTGGGGACTAAGTCACTTGCCCCAGTGCTTGTGGTCACTCAGTGGTGGAGGGTTTGCCTCTGACAGCCTGGGCCAGCTGGAGCCCTCACCTCCCAAGGCTAGTCCAACACTCAGATCCCGAGTTATTTCCCGTGTTTATGCTAACTCTTAAGAGGTCCTAAAATGGCTTGCTCTGAAAAATGTTTTTTTTTACAATTGAATCTAGGATGAGCACATACAAAATAAAACGATTTGAGAAAGTTTTCAACCCCAAAAGGCTGTTTTCTTGGAAGGGAACGAAGTGAGTATTATTTGTGAATTCTTAGGAAGCCCTTTCCTTCCTTTGGACTTCTTTTTCTAAGGGAGCCATTGTCCTGGGTTGGAGTTGGGCTCTGTGTGGCCTGCTGTACCATTTCAGATGAAGGCACCCCAGGCCTCCTCCCTCCCTGATGGTCACCATCGGGGTCACCAACCTGGTGTTCCTTAACAAGCTGCAAGTGGACTGGCCAGTTGATGACTTTGCCTGGCCACTGAGGGCATTCCCTTCCTGCCTGCCATGTCTCTGGGTGCTAGAACATTCATCAACCCACTCTGTAAAGGATCTTATTTTTATTTGTTCAAAATGTACTTCTTTTCCTTTATAAAGGATGCCCTCGTGGGTATGCTGTCCCAGGGTTTGGGGGTGGGTATGTTCACTGTCCTTTAGCTGTGTGCCACCCCAACTCCCGTCCCATCAGCCTTGATTTGTAGACCAAATCCTCCCCACCCTTTCCTTAGACAGTGAGCTCCCCCTCTGTGTGGCCATTCTTATGCCATCCCCGGGCCCTGTCATGTCTGGGTGTGTATTCCCAGGGTGGTAGATAAGACTGAACATGTTGTTCTGGTTGCAGACCTACTGGAGGGAGAAGAGATGGGAGAGGAAGACTCTTCCTCTTTCGATCATGGCCCTTTGGGTGTCCAGCGCTCATGGCTTTGGCCATGGCAGCTCACTGGGTCCGTCACAAGAGATGACCTGTGACACTCCCGGAAACCAGGTCAAGGGTTCTCCACCAATGCTCACTCCTTCCCTCTCCTTAACCTGTAGTACTGAGTCTCTAGCAGCTTCCTTTCCTGAGTCCTATGAAGACCGGGCACAGTTTCAGTTCTTTTTCCTTAGGCATAGAGTTTAAGAAACTTGAAACCCACTGATCGTATTTCAGATCATTTAGTTAGCTCCCCATTGCTAAGATTCTTTAAATTTCAAGCAGTGTTTACTGACAGGTGCCTTCTTCAGGCCCAGCTGATATGTGTGTCGGAAACAAAAGCCTGTTTAACGGTAGTCTGTACAGATCTAGGTAAAGTGGTCTGTAGAGGGCAGCCGTCCCTGGCTTTACCAGCTTCCTGGTTTGGGGTCATCTGCACCCGTTAGCTCTGGCCGGCACCCCTCCCTGCCCCGCCTCGCCCTGTCTGCTGCGTGTACAGATGTCAGTGAAGATTGCCTGTGCTTCACTGTTCAGGGATTTCTCACGCATTCAAGGTTCAAACTCCTTTGACTGTGTCTTAGGCTCCCCTCCCAGTATAACGCTCTGGTGCCTTCTTAGTATCAACTCGAACCTAAAACAGGTTAGTCGAGTTGAGGCTTCAGGCCGCTCTGGGATGGGTTTCTTCACACTGTGGCCCCTCACCTTTTGTGTCATGGGAGCAGAACTGCCAGAGTCCGGACACGGGAAGCCCAGGGGCTCTGACCGTCCGCTTGCTCCCTCTTCCTCAGTTTCGTGATGGTCAACAGCGTTGCCCTGGAAGGGGACGGCTGCCACATCTGCTCCAAAGCGGAAGCTGAACTCCTGGAAATTTCTCACCAACTGAATTGCTCCCGTGAGGTAGGAGCACCCGAAGGCACAGGGGCTTCTGTTCTGGCATCTTCTACCCGGCGGTCGCTGCACCTGGTATTTCCTGCGTCGCTCAGCTCCCTCTTCCTTTCTTACCGCTCGGGGCTCGGGGACACCAGCTCTGCCAGGGTAACCAATTTCTCACCAGCAGGAACGTGGCTCCGGCCCCTGCCGAGATGTGCCGCTGCTGCCCGCGTCCGCCCCGGTGCTCCTGCAGGTGAGCGGGGACCGCGCGGCTCTGTCTCCCCGGATCTGGCCCAAAACGGCCGGGGCCCCCCCTGCTCACATCTGACTCTCTAATATCTGGGCAGCATTTCCCGCTTTACCGGAGGAGCGATGCTAATTGTTCTGGGGAGGACGCTGCGCCTCTGGAAGAGCGGGGCATCCCCTTTAAGGAGCGGTACGACGTGCTTTCCCGGGAGGCCTCTCAGCAGGTTTGCGGGGGAGTGGGATGCCCACCCACCCACGGGACTGACGGACCGCCATGGACAGCCATTGGCACACTTGGAGGCGGGGTGGGGGAGTGGGGCATTGGGGGGTGGGAGTGGGGGGTTAAAGGGATGCGGGCTCAGGTTTTCATGTCCTCCTTTGGTTCCTCCCCTGCCCCCAGTAATTCTGTTTCCTAATAGCAAGTGAGTAATAATATCCTCAGCTATTCTTTAGTCCGAGTTTTTGTTCATCAACTTAAATGTGTCTGAAAATGTGAATGGAATTTAAGAGCTAATTTTGGGGCACTTCATTCAGATGAGCTTACTTATATGTTTATAACTATATTTATATTATAGAAACACATATTTGTATAGTGGATGACATACTATATCATACAATAGAAATATAAAATAAATTTATAAAAATATTTGTAAAAATATAAAATCTGAGAGAAGGAGGACAGAGTCTCCCTAAAAGCCTGAGCTTACTTTTTGATAGGGTCTCAGCCAACCAAAGGATGTTAAGGAAAAGATAAAGCCCCCGACCAAGTAGGGATTTTATATTTAGCTTCATGAAATAAGTGGGTGGCCAGTCGCTGGGCCCTGAGGGGACTCTGTGCAGGCACTGACCACCTGTTGGCTGTGTTCCCCTGCCCCACCGGGTGTGGTAGCTACTTTGGTGGCTGCGGCCACGTCTCATCCTGAGTGGCCACACGCACAGTGCCTGCGAGGTGCTCCACGGGGCGGGAATCCCCGAGATCAGCGTGCCCTCTTTCAGTTGGAGGAACAGAAACAACCCCAGCTTCATCATGGTAATGTGAACATTTATTTTCATCTGAACGCTCGCATAGAAGTACTGAAATCAACACAGTAATCAACTATTTAATTGCTGCAATCTGTAAAAACGTACAAACGCTGTGAATACAAACTTGCCTTCCTCCCCATGTGCACTTGGTTTGATTCACAGACCCCTTTCCCCGTGCCTCGTGCCTCTCTGGGGACACGTGAGCGCTGCATGGCCCTGGAGGGGGTGGGGTGGGGGCTGGGCATCCTTCAGAACGCGTCAACCCCATGGACCTGGTATGGTCCTCAGATAAGAGGCTCTGTGTGTCTAATTTTCAAAGGAAACCGGAGCCTGTCTTCATTGGCCAGACGCCATCATCTTGTCTTAAGTCAGGAGAATGCTATAGCTCTGGCTAGTGCACTTGACATGTCATTTCAATTAGTGGCTACTTTTACTTCATGAAAAGATGGGGAAACCCTCATGTTTTCAAGTTCAAAGTGAATGAGACCACTCCTCAGTGTCAGTCCACACCGCAAAAACGCTTAAAAGAAAAGCCCACTGAGGTGCCCCCAGCCCATGCATTTCTGGGTAACAGGTTGCTTAATTTAGCAGAAGTGGCATGAGAAATGGCCTTGTAGTCCTTGTTTCTCAGTGCCCACTGATGTAAAATCTCCATGCGTCTTGCATCTCTGTCATGTTGCCCAGTGCATTATAGCGGGGGACCTGCTGTGCCAGGGGCTAGTTTCAGTGGAGGGTTCAGCTCTACTCAGCACACTGGGATCCTTGCCTTCATGTCTCCACCAGTGCTTCTGGTTGGTGGGTGGTGGCTTGTGGAGGCCCAAGGCTGTGCCCCTTCCTCTCAGGAGGAGAGCTACTTCCTGGCCTCACCTGACTCAACCAAGATGGCTGCTTTGCCTCAACTGTGTCTAAGTCTGTTGTGTGGCAATGTGGGAGGGCTCTCGCTGCAGCATTAACCTCCTCATTTCCTTTCCAGGGCAGTATGACGCCCACAGAGTACGCCCTTGCCAAGTGCTACCTGCCTCACGAGGCTACCGTTCTGGCCACATACTGTGTAGCAGCTGGGCTCCTGGCGGTCCTCCTGTTAGTCCACTCCAGACTTCTACCCTCACCTTTTCTTTTGGGCTGGAACCTGCTCAGGAAATTTAAGACAACGTAAAGAGCAGGAGACTTGTGTATTTCGTCATAAGTAACAAAGCCAAAGAAACTGGACCTTGGGCAGGGCTCACGGGAGATGAGGTCAAAGGAGGCGGTCTTTATACACATCACGGAAACTGTTAATCACTGATGCAAATTCCTGCAGAATAAATAGTTGATGGTACTGTTCTCATGCTATAAAAATGGAACGTGTACTCTACAACAAGTCTTGTCTCATTTTATCAAATATATGTATCATCAAAGATCGTGTCTGTACAATATGTAAAAGCTATTAAAGTCATCACTTGCATGCACGAGGCTGTCCTACCTTCCCCAGGATGGAGCCGGCGGCCCGGGAACACACTCGGGGTTGTGTGTGCACAAACACTGGGTTTGCTTCTGTCCCCTTACGAAGTGGTCCACAAACTCCTATTATATATGATAAAGCTGTACACTTAAAATAATAAAAGTACAGATGTCACAAGCAGGAATATGTTTTTGTAGACTTTTGTACTTCTGTGCTAATCATGGAATTGGATTTTTAGAGAACGTTAATTTTCTCTCCAGCAGACCAGGCTGTTAAAATCTGAATGTAATGCCCGTCCATGATCCAAAGGGACTTGAAAAAAAGGACTGGGAAGTGGCTTTTGGTATTTAAAAATAAATATGTTTTGATAATTTTCCACCAGATAAAATGTGTTCTTTCTGTGTGTCTTCTGTGAGCCTGGCTCTGTCTCTGAATAGGAAGCTTAGTCCCAGGGGTACTGCTGAGGGATAATGTACGTAAGAGCACACAACTTTGCTTTTTGGGCACACGTGGGGGGTGCGTGGCTCTGGCGTTCTTCCATGTTCTACGTTGAAAGTGCAATGGAAAGAAAATAATTGCCACTTTATGTGTCTCATTTCAGATCAGGGTTTTACGCAACAAGGATGAGAGGTGCAGAATTGAGTGACGCTGACGTAAATTATGTGTTTATTACCCTGATCGATCATCTGGAAAGTTGTCATCCTCTCTTTCTTGGAAAAGTCGAATTTAAATCTGGATGCATTTATAAAGGATTATAAAATGCTGCCTTCCAGAGTAAACTTTAAGATATTAAAGACTAAAAGGAAATGAAGTGACGTCAGTGAGGCTGTATTGTTGAAATATAACTTTGGACATCTCTGCAGGTTATATTGGACCCAAGAAAACTGCCCTCCAAGCGTGGCTGTGGACAGAACATGTAAAGCATCACTGCTCTAGTAATTCTTGCTTTCTAGATCTTGTACCATACTATAACTTATAAGGCTGCATTTGCAAATCTTGCCTGTGTGAGAAACAGCCATAGGTTTTTGATTCTGCATTTCAAATAAAGGTTTCGTAATCTTTCTTCTTCAAGGGGCAAATGGAGATGCCATCCTTTGACTCTCAGACTGGACACAGACACTGACGCCCTCTGTTTCCTTCTTGCTATTTGCTTACAATAGAAACTGTGGTCAAGTGGGTGGTTCAAAAGCTTCGACTAAGGGAATGCTTGGCCTATTTCTACTCAGAGGGCTTGTAAAAGTCTTTAAATTGCAAAAATTCAAAAGGCATTGTTTGGAGGAAAAAAAAATCCTTGGTTTCTGTAAGAAGCTTGTGATGTGGGTACAAAATGGTAAGATGTGACTAATTCATGTGTATAATTTATATGTGTGTGTGTGTGTATATATTTAATCAAGGATATTTTTAAAAGTACTAACCTGATAAAATAGTCTAAATCCTACAGATACCATTCTCTTTTTTAGAGCAAGCAGCAGGTAATGCTGACATTTAGCTCTTCACGATAAAAACACGGTTTCTTTACAGATAGAGCCGTAATCAAGGCACAAGGACCTACAAGGACTTTTGAAGGAGTTATATAAAATAATATTACATTTGGTGGTCTGTACAGTTATAATAAACCAGCCATAAAACAACAACAACAAGGTATGGAAGGAGACTCTTGTCCAAGCATAATCAAAGTCTAGAGAATCATTTGGAGACAGGACAGCGGTGGATGTGGTAGGTTTTCTGCCTAAATGTAAAAGGCTCCAAGTAGGTCCAATGTAATGCCTGAGGTCGGCAGCGACTCAAAGAGGACTGAAAAGAGGGTTTCCCTCCACTCTGTGACTTGAGGTCTGGCCTCGCTCTTGGGCCGACTCAGCTCCGAAAGGGAGGCCACTTATCCACCTGACCGCATCGTTCCCCTGCTTCTACAAACCTTGCTTGATAATTCGGAAAAATGGCCATTGCTCCCCCATTTATAAAGCTCCCACTGAATCAATAAAGCACTGAGTGGATGAATAAGAGGGGCCCTCGCCCGGACAGACTTCACTGCAGCACCCCACTGCGTGACAGCGGTGGTCTGCAGTGACACAGATGGGTACAAGTGGGGACGCTGGGGAAGGTTGTGCTCAGTGAAGAGGAAAGCTACAAACCAAACCCGAGGGGAACAGAGGTAGCCAGAGGCTTGGTGGTCACACAGGAGCGAACACAGAACAGGACAGGCGGCAGCTGGATGAGACTGGGAACTGCCTACTTTTGACCACGGCTTGGGGGTGACAGTGCTGGAGTAAATGCTCCACCTGGCAGGGTGGCCAGGGGAGGCGGGGAGGGCAGAGAGAAGGTGCGAGAAGACGCGCCCCCTCCCTCCTCCCCGCCAGGGCTGCCTCACAAGAGTTCGTACTGTTTGAGGTGCATTCTCTGGATAATGTCACGGCAGTCGTTGAACACCCTGCGAATGTTCTCGGTGTCCACGGCGCAGGTGAAGTGTGGGTAGCAGTAATGTTTGCCATCCCCTGTGGCTGTGCTGATCCTCTGCAAAAAAAGAAAGAAAAGCTGTCTGTGCGGTGGGGCCCTGGCTACCACACCCATGGAGTACGTGGGAACACTGGCACCACCACCCCATTAGTTCTTGGAGAAGGATTTAGGCAACTCTTTGACCAAAGTTAAGAGGATCTGGGGTTGTGGTGTGTTTGACACAGGAACATTTAGCTGTAGGCACTGCTGGAAACTCAAAGAAACTCACACTTACCTCTGCCTACAGAAACTTAGGGTTCAGTTGGGATAGGAGACACCTTCAAAAGATGGCCACTGAGAGAAATCAGGGTAGAATTTTCCAGAAATGAAGGTCAGTCCTAAACTAGCGCTATCAAACAGAACTTTGTGCATAATGGAAATATTCTCTATTCGCCTTGTCAGTACGGGAGCCACTATTACTAGCTGATGCAACAGAGATGGATTTTTTCATTAAATTTGATTAAGTTTAAATATCCACATATGACTAGTGGTTCCAGGCGGATTGCACATTGGTCACGCTGCCTCCTCCTTCACCTAGAACTTGAGTGTTTCCTGGCGGTGTCCCCTAGTGAGCAGTGGGAGGTTCTGTGGGAGGTTCATGGCTTTTCTCCCAGAGGAGAAAAAGCATGGCTGGTCATGATTCACAAGGACATCGTGGGGTGACATGCCCAGTGCACTGAGAAACTAAGTGGGCACATGTGGAGAGAGCCTGTCATGGGCTGAACTGTGTCCTCCCCACACCAATTCATATGCTGACATCCTAACCCCCAGCACCTCTGAGTGTGACTATTTGGAGACAGGATCTCTTTTTAAAGAAGTAATTTAAGTTAAACAGTGGTCATGTGGGTGGGCCCTAATCCCATAAAACGGGTATCCTCATAGGAAGAGAGGAGATTGGGACACTCACACACGAGGAAAGGCCATGTGGAGACGCCAGGTGAAGATACAACGAGAAGGTGAACATCTACAAGCCAAGGAGCGAGGCCTCAGGAGAAACCAATCCTGTTGACCCTCTGATCTCGACTTCTAACCTCCAGAAGTGTCAGAAAATAAATGTTGGGTAAGCCCCCAGTCTGTGGTGCTTTGTTATGGCCGCCCCATCTGGGGAACGCAGAGGTCATGTGGAGCTCTCTTCATAGGTGCCCACAGGGATCCCTGCACATCCTCCTTGTCCCTCCCCACCAACCCAACCCCTCTTCCTGCAAAGCATCTTGGGAATCAGCTGTTGGAGAGATGCTGAGACCCCCAGCTGGGCTGTCTAACGATGTTCCTCAGGTTATGAAAGTCCTTCTGGGAGGACTTATTTTTAGCAATAGTCAGGCTTCTCTTGAGCAATTACAACTTTTACAAGACCGATGGACCCTGAAATGTGTGGGTTAGGTAGAGGGAGCCCTGCAGCTCTCGGGGAGGGACGGGCACCTGGGGAGGAAGCACGCAGTGGGTAAGAAACAGGCTTCCTTCTGTACTAATGGGATGGCTTGTCCCTGCCTTGGGCAACAGAACGTAAGCCAGAGCCACTCCAGAGCGTGCTGCAGTCGGCTTATCTCTAACTGTTTCCTAGCATTTCTAAACTTTTTCATTTTAAATGACAGAAATGAGCTTGTCAAGGAAAGCTGGGCCATTACAGACTCTGCCTGACTGGCGGGAGATGATGTTCAAGGTAAAACGGAGGGGAGCTCATAAAATACCAGGATGAGAAGCCCAGTTAAAACACACAGGCTTCTACCAGATGCCAGAACATCAAGACACAGGGTACAGGATACCAACCTCATGCTCTACCTTTGAAACCTTCTGCTCTAAAAGGTTTGGTGCTGCCTGCCCTGAGGGCCCCTCCGGCCCAAGTCTGGGCATGGTGGGCTTGTGGGTGGTTTCCAGTCTGAGGGACAGGACCACCTGAAGATGATAAGGGGAACACTGGGGACTGACCACCCAGTCCTCCCTCCCTCCTGGCTCCTGGCTCTCTCCATTCTGAGTTCCTCCCACGGGGAGATGATTTGGGCCTTTCCGTTGTGGGAGGAAGTGACCCTGACTGGGACAAGCCTCCTGGTGGCCAGCGCCTTACTCACGGGAGGACATGTAAGGAGGCTGCTCAGACAGCGTGTGGCCCTGTCTCACCGAGGGGCTCTTCTCATCATGCCTTCCCCTCTCTGCCCAAGCCCACCTTTCCCTCCTCAAGGCCAGGTCCCCCCATCTACCTCTCCCTCTCCATGTACAGCCCTTATTCCCCATCCCATCTCAGGGCGTTTTATGGCCAAAGTTACTGTTTTGCCTACACCTGCTCTGTCCAGATTCAATACAGATCAACAACCGTGTCTGCAGCCCACCCTGCTTCCTTCAAAGTCTGGGGTCAGGGCTCCCAACTCAAAACTCTTCAGATGACTCACTGACCCAGGCAAATTCCACCATTAAAAAAAAAAAAAAAAAGTCATTAACCCCCTAGGCTTTTATTTCCCTGGCTTGCAAACTGTACACGAGCCAGACTACGTCCATCGTTAGAGAAGAAAAGATTTCTTCGCGACCTCCCCATGGTAGTGGCACGGCCATTCATTTTGGGAGGGGGGACCCCTGTTTCTAATCTTTACATGGCTATTGTGCACACTTGGTTACCTTCCAGTTCTCATCAGAACAGCATTTTATGGGACACTCTGTATGTGCTTTTCTATTCTATGGTCTTGCAAGATGTTCCTCAAA